AATCGTAATCGACAACTCATATCGGGCTATTACGTCTGACGATGCGGCGTGAATGTTTTGTTTTGAAAGAGCCCCCTGCCATCGCACTGCCTTTTTCTTGTAGTTTAGCTTTTACTCAATGTATCCGTCTTTTCTAATACATTGTTGATTGCTCTATACTTTGAGAAGTTTTTTTTTTTGATCTCATGTGATACCTCGAATTCACTTTCAATGTACTTATCTGTAAATCTGTATTGTAACACATAGTCTGTGCATGAAGATTAATTTTCATCGCGTTTGTGTTACTTCACACATATTTTATCGTCTTTAGTACCTAATCTGTGCTAAGAGCAAAAATTTGATTGCTTGAAAACTCTGAAGCTTATTGTTACAGTAAATGCCTGAGGAAGGATGGTTCCTCGATCACACTTTGGAAGATGTGATCAGCGAGGAGGTATGGGCGTTTCTTTTGCGGTAGGGTATGATCTGGAATACTTTTGGGTTCCAGGTATCCATACCTCATCGAGTGAGTTCAAAGTTGGTGAAATTATTTGCTGATGGAAATGAAGTTGCGTACATCGCACGATATCGAGCTGATGCTCATGAAGGGATGTCGTGTGATCAGATTCGACAATCTTTCAAGGTCTTTAATGAAACTAAGTAAGTGTGGATGGTCTCAGGACTTAATAGGAAATGTATGCAAGCACTCTGTGTTGCAGTTTGAAAATGGTGCAATTGCACCAAGTGGCTTAAACATTTGAACGAGTGTGCATTCTTGTCACTTACGCACTCCTTTTTGCGTATGAACGACGTACCCGCAACACCAGAGCTTTGCGTGCGGACTTCCGATTGTAGGAGCCGTTTTGAATGCGTAAGCCGGGCGCATGTGGCGCGAAGCTGTGGCACGGCGGTTTGCGAATAAAAAGGGAACATGCGACTGACACAGACTACAAATCCCGACCCATTATACTATATATCAAGCTGATAAATTAACATGCTTTTTTTCCAGTGATTTTTTGAGACCTTTCTGAGCATGAAACTTGAGTTGGGTTTTTGTTGTTTTCCAGTTTTAATGAAATTTTAGGGAGCTCAATAAGAAAGTCGAGAAAGCAATCGCAAATGTTTCGACAAAGATCAAGTCCGAGAGCGATCTCAGAGTAGCTTTGGAGCGACTCAAGGTAAATCGTCATATCCTCCATCCATGCCTCAATCAATCACGTACCTATAGTCCGCAAGAGAATCGGCTGATGTTACCGAAGTAACTCAACTATATGCAAGTGCTAGAAAGACCAAGGCTTCCATAGCTCGGTATGCCTTCACCATCTCTTTCGGTTTTACACTCCGCCAAACGGTACATTATTCAGAGAACTAGGTTTGGAAGAAGTTGCACAAGCTATACTAGAGGGTGGTACAATCCATCTAGATCGCTTTGTCGGCTCAAAGCCTGGTGGGTATGATTCTTTTACCTAGTTGACTTTCATTATGTAAGGAACTTCAGAGCTGAAAAATCTGAAAATTGTCGAAGAGAACATTGCGAATGCCATGGCTGATATGCTGAACAAAATGCAAGAAACACAGGATGCAATCAAAAGAATGTGAGTTGAAATTGCAAAGCTATAGTCGATTTATCGACGCAGACAATGTAAACATCGCGGACATCGCTGCGACGCGGTTTCTACTACCCACCGCCATTTTTTTATGCCTTGAGCAATCATAGGCAGCGCCAAGAGCAAGGTTTTTAGTTGTGGAATACAACTCCCGAATTTACTATATGTATTCACAAGGCAATTCTTATAGCACAAAGCTGGAAACAAACGTTTTTCTCTGCGTTTGCTCTGAGTTATCTAACAAAGCGAAGAAATGGACGGAAAATGATAAATCATACCGGTTGATTTCAAATTTCAACGATTATCTGAACTTCAAAAAGGATGCTAGAAAAGTGGAGAACTATCAGGTACGAATTCATTATTCTTTTCTCCAGTGGATCATTTACTGTTCAAAGATACTTGCCATGGACAGAGGAGAGGAGAATGAAGTGCTCACCTGGAAAATAGAAGTAGCTTATGCTGAAAAGGAGCATCCGGGAAATGCAGTTCGGTTAGCGCTTCGCCAGTGATTGCTTTTTTTTGAGAAAGGAAACTTTCTTTAGAGTTGCCTCTGCGCATAGAGAACTATTCCAAACCGCTCTTAGAGATTCTATAAATCGACTGTTTATCCCGAAAATTCAGCGAACGTTGCGGTAAGAAATCAAGCGTTCTTCATCACTTCATCAGTTGTAGGAAAACGATTTTGAATGATTACAGACGACTTCTTCTGGCTCGCGCTGAAGAAGCAGCGATTTCGTGCTTTGCCCACAACTTGCGCCATTTGTTCTGGCGCGAAGGAGTAAAGGCTGAAAGTGTTATCGCCTTGGATCCTG